TGAGACTCATTAAGAAATTTCTAATTTTTGTATGTCCAATAATGATACTCAATTGGGTTTTAAAGAATAAAAAAAAAATATTTTTTATAAAAACTAAAATGAAAAAAAATCAAATTAGTATATATAAATATACAAGATTCTATAAAAACACTAATTTATTATGTTTAATAAATTTTTAAACGTATATTAAACGTAAACACTCGTTATAAGATTCTTGAAACTATCCATGATGATCTCTGGCATCCTTTCTGCAATATCCAGTCTCCGAAAATTCCAACATTGCACACAATTTATATATCAAAATCCCCAAACTTTATAGTATTCAAAAATGTCGTAATGCAAAGTATTTCGAATTATTAGAGACCCACATTTATAAAACCGGAAGACAAATCTCATAAAAATTGCACACCATAGGAATTTGAAGTCCATTCTATTATGTGTGGGGCATGAGGAAACTCATGTAAGTAGACTTCTTGCTAGATGCTCCCGAGGTGTTGCCAATGCTTGAGTTAATGTCTGCAATTCCAAAATGTAAAAACAATGCATTCCCCCCTTCGGTTATAGCCGAATCAAAACAAAACTATATATATAGTCATCACCTGTTCAGAGAGTGAACCACTAGCTTATGTGCTCTGCATTGCTAGTTTCCCCGCAATGACGTTTCAAGAATCACCCTAAACACAGTTTACATAAGCCATAAAACAAGGGTGATTAACAAAGGCAAGAAATGTTTTAGCAAGAGATCAGTTTGAGTAGTGGCTAACTAACTACCACTTAATGCAGTAAAGACACGTCAACTCATCTTTCTAATTTGCATTTCTAAATGTAAATAACAATGAAGATCGCATGTACCTCTTCAAACCAAGAATGTTGACAAGAGAATCGAAACCTGATGTCCATTGACTCCATCTTCTGGTCTTGGCCCGTCCCTTGCATTAGCGCCCATCTCTCCTGGTACTCCATCAGATTTGTGGGAGAATGTAGCAGAAGAGATTAGAGCTTTAAGAAAAGAATTCTGCAGGTTCACTAGGGAACAAACTTTTTAGCAAAAAAAGAAAAAGAAAATCAAAACAAACTTGCATCCTGAAAATCATAGCAACAAACCAAATTGCATCCCATTTCTACTGATCAGTAACACAAAATCATCATCAACACTTCAGGAGCGTGAGCAGTACACAGACTAGGCTAACACGCCAAACAAAATCGAAGTTCCCAAAACCAGTGACGAATTTATACAATAAGGAAAATGGAAGAGGGATGGAGGGCATTTCAACAACCTCTCTATCGTGCGCCACCACCGGTCTGTATTTTCCTCCGCCGAGACGAGGTCGTGACCGGAGTTCCTCTTCGCCCTTTTCACTTCTCCACCTTATGTTCTCAGAAAATTAGCACTTGAAATCAATCACCCAAAGAAAGAGGAACAAGAGAGAAAGAGTTCGCGTTTTCAGA